CTGTTAGCACCATCATATGGAACAGTACAACTCCCCAGCCAACATGGCCACCAAGTAAACAGGCCAGGCGTCGTGGTTTAACTCAGCAGGCAGCTGAACACCATGCAGCCGCTAGCTCACTACCCCCCTCCCTCAGTGGGATGGGGGACAGATAGGAAAAAAGGTAAAACCCATGGGTTTTGGTAAAGATAGTTTAATGAAACAGCAGAGGCAAAGAATAATCATAATGGTAAGAAAATATACCGAATATATAAAACAAGTGATGCACAATGCAATTGCTCACCACCCATCCATCGATGCCCAGCCAGTCGCCAAGCAGTGATCACTTCCCCCCAGCCAACTCCCCCCAGTTCCTACACTGAACATGACATCATATGGTCTGGAATAGCCCTGCGGCCAGTTGGGGTCAGCTGTCCTGGCTGTGCCCCCCCCCCGCCCCGCTTCTTGTGCACCTGGCAGAGCAGGGGAAGCTGAAAAGTCCCTGACTGGTGTAAGCACTGCTCAGCAACAACTAAACCATCAGGGTGTTATCAGCATTCTTCTGTTATTAAATCCAAAACACAGCGCTGTGCCAGCTACTAGGAGGAAAATTAACTCTATCCCAGCTGAAACCAGGACATCAGGTCTTTGCCACAGAGTAGACAGCCTCATCAAACATTTAGGGGGATGCTCTGGACACAAATAATGCCAGCTATTTCCGCTCTGGTTTATTCTTGGTTTTAATCAATGGCCTGTTCTACAACATGAGCCTGGCTCTGTAGGCAGGATCTAAGCATGGACAGCATCATCTCTCTCAGATTTTGGGAAGAATATAGAGACACTGATCGAGTGTGCAGGGATGGGGTTTGGAAAGGACATGAAGAACAGTGAGGTGCTTGATGCTTTCTTCATCTTGGTCTTTACTGGTAAGATTTGCCTTCAGGAGTCCCAGGTCGCCAAGACCAGTGGGAAAGTCTGGAGCAAGAAAAATTTACCCTTGGTGGAGGAGGTTCAATATCTAAATAAACTGGAAAAAACACAGGTCGATAAAACATGGGGGATGCATCCAGGAGTGCTGAGGGAGCTGGCTGATGTCACTGCGAGGCCAATCTCAATTATCTTTGAAAGGTCATGGTGACTAAAAGAACCTCCTGAGAACTAGAAGGTGGCAAATGTCCCTCCTATCTTTGAGAAGGGCAAGGATTCAGGGAACTACAGATCAGTCAGCCTCAACCCCATCCCTGGGAAGCTGATGGTATCCTCCCAGATACCATTTCTAAACATATTAAGGACAAGATGGTGATTGGGAATAGTCAGCATTGATTTATGAAGAGGAAATCATGCCTGACCAACCTGAGAGCCTTCTAAACCAAGATGACTAGGTTGCTGAATGGGAGGAGAGCAGTGGATGTTGTTTATCTTGACTTTAGTAAGGCTTTTGATGCTCTCATAACATCCTCAGACAAACTAAAAAGTGCAAGCTAAATAAATGGACAGTGAGGTGGACTGAAAACTTGCTGAATGGCTGAGCTCAGAAGGCAGTGATCAGCCATACAATGTCCAGTTGGAGGCTGGTCACTTAGTGATGTATGCCTGGGTAAATACTAGGTACTGGTACTGTTTAATATCTGGACAGTAAGGCAGAATGCACCCTCAGCACGTTGGCAGATGGTACAAAATTTGGAGGAGGAGTTGCTACACCCGGTAGTTGTGCTGCCATTCAGAGGGGCCTCAACAGGCTGGAGAAATGGGCCAACTGGAACGTTATCAAGTTCAGAGGGAAATGCCAAGTCCTACAGCTATTAAGGAACAACCCCAGGCACCAGTACAGGTTGGGGACCAGCCAGTGGGAAAGCAGCTTTGCAGAAAAGGATCTGCAGGTCCTGCTGGACACCAAGTTGAACATGAGCAAGCAATGTGCCCTTGCAGCAAAGAAGGATAACAGCCTCCTGGGCTGCGTTAGGAAGAGCATTGCCAGCGGGTTCAGGGAGGTGATCCTTCCCCTCTATCTCATGCTGTTGAAATCACAACTGGGGTGCTGGGTCCAGTGCTGGGTTCCCCAGTACAAGAGAGACATGGAGCAAATCCAGCACAGTGTTGTGAAGATAATGAAGGGACCAGAGCATCTGTCACAGGAGGAGAGGCTGACAGAGCTGACATGTTCAGCCTGGAAATGAAAAGGGATCTTATCAATGTGTGTAAATACTGGATGGTGTCGGGGGAAGCCAGGCACTTAGTTATGCCCAGGAAAGGGACTAGGGGGATGGGAAATTGCATTTGAACATAACAAAAAGAAATCTTTTTTACTGTCAGGGTAATTGAACACCGGCATTGGTTGCCCAAAGAGCTTGTGGAGTCTCCAACCCTGAAAACACTCCAAATCCAACTGGGCACAATCCTGAGAAACCAGCTCTATTCGACCCTGCTCTGAGCAGGGAGATTAGGCAAGATGATCTCCAGAGGTCCTTTTCAACCTCATCCTTTCTAATGATTCAGAGAAATAATTTAAACAGAGCTATTAAACCACCTTTTACAGAAGGAAACAATAAGAACCGGTGATTGCATTTTTCTAGGTTATTGCTGAGGTGTGGATTCTCTATATAACTATATGTTTTATTTGAAGTTAAAAATGCCAAGATTCTTCAATAAGCAGTTTTTAAATATATGTAGCATAAACAGAAATAAGTAACATGCAATTTAAAAATAGATTTGGCATCTTTACATCAATCCTCCTCCTTCCTTGTATGTGATCGCAACTAAAGATGTCTGCCTAGAAAAGATTACATCACCTTTGTAGATAAAGCGTTCAAAAAGGGAAGCTCCCAGCATAAATTATTTGTAGAATGAATGTCTTGAATCACTTCAAGCCTAATGAGAAGTACTTTCAGGAAACTGTGGTATTCACTGAGAGTGAATATGTACTGTCTGAAGCTCGGGTTTTCTTTTATGGCTGTATATAGCACCATTTTTTCTAAGAATACAGTCTCAGAATGAACCAGCTTTTGCTCTTTATCGACAGGATAGCTCTTCCATTTGCCACTCTGATGGTGTTTCGGACTGTACGGTTCAAAGCCATGTGCAAGTAGATTACAATGCTACTTGCGCACATTCATATCCAAATGAGGTGACCAGACCTGTACCCCCGTGGCTGATCTCTAGCATTACTTATTTCAACAGTAAGAAAAAATAGGATGTCCAGTGGAGGTCCACCATGACAGAGGGGCTTCTCTTTGCAAAGCTGACCTATGAAACTGGTTTGGGGCTGGCAAACTGGTTCCGTATCCTAACAGTATCACTAGCTCTGAGATACTGGGTGAAAACGACCATACTAACCTTATGTTAAATACTGAGATCAGATATTCACCAAGGCATTCAGATCTGGTCCAAGCCTCTGCCTGCCCTCCTATATGTGTCCTGAAGGGCAGGAAGGATGGGCAGTTAGGCCAGCACTCCGGCTGCTTTTGCAGGACGTTTGGGGCTGAATGCACTTAAGCTAACTTAAATTAGCTTAAGGTGCCTGAGCTTTCTGAATTGGGAACAGTGTGTCCCTGGGTTCTCCTCTAAAGAAGGGAGCAGAGACAGGACTTCCAGGGGCAATTCAGAAAAGCCAGTGAGGTCTCTCTTGGATAGTGGCCGTTGACTATAGAAGGAGACTAAAGCAAATATGCTTCTAGTCTGCACACTTCAGATAGGAGTATAAAGCTGGAAAAGATAAATGTGGGCCTTGAATCTATACACATTATATTTAGTTGGCAACAGCAGAATGCTGCAAGGAGCTTATAAAACAAATATTACTAAAATGAAGTAACTGCTTTAATACTTGAGCATTATTGTAGCACACAAACTGTTCCAGGCAAACCCACGACACTGTTCACACTGAAGAGACCTTGGTATCCTGTACCATGTTATCTGCAGTCTGTGAAATAGTGAGGAATACTTGAAAACTTGCTCTCCTGACATTTTTCTAGAAATAGATGAACAATCAGGATACTGCTTTTCACACAGCATCCCTCTTGTGCACTGCGGTAATATCCGCTTGAATACAGAAGAATGAAAACAATCACATTTCTCACCCCTCAAATGGACCAGATAATACAGAATTCAGATCAGTCTGTGTTTTTCATTACACTGGACATGTTTACAAGTCAGATGAAAGCAATACTTGCTCAAATGACCTCCTTTCCTCTGTTCGGAAGATTTATTGAAGGCAATATAGAACAGCAACAATAGTCAATCATAGGTGGCAGACTGCCCTTTTATTAGGCATACTGAAGCCAATTAATCTAAGCGAGCTTTCTCCCTTTACCTCCTGGAGGCATGTACGGTTAGCATGCATTTAAAAATTCTGCAGCAATAAATAAAGGTGCTGAAACTATTCATTTGAACTTTGCAAAATTATTTACAGGCACTTGAGATACTAAGCATTAACATTCTACATACTCTGCTGGGCAACATAATTTGACTAGATCCAAGACTTAAAAAATAAAGTTTTAAAACAAGGCTTTGTGGTACTGGCATCCTCAAGGGGAGCAGGAAGAGAACGGAATGCCTGCAAATGGAGGTAAAAGCAGTAGGAACACCGAAGCCTACCTTAACACCAAGTCAGAACACCGAGTTCTTCAAATAAGGTTGCAAGGCAAGGTGCGCTACTGAACCAGTCACACATTTACAAGCACAGAAGTAACCAATTTTTGGAATTTATTTCTAGATGTCAGATTATCTGCCATTTATAGGAGATACCAAAGGCCATTTAAGGTGAAAAGCAAGTCTATAATAATCTTATTAATTATGAAACATCAAAACCCAAGATGTCTTAATTCATGTTCTCATTTTTGCAGTCCATGTGCTTCTAATTAGAACTGCTGTAATTTATTCGCTTGGGAGGCATATAAGAAAAGTGAGTAACTTTTTAGTAGCAGCTTCAACTTTCAGGGCACACGCTTAAATAATCCTTTATTCTTGGATTATCTCAAACATCCTCCTCTGGATTACCTTCATGGTAAATTCAATGGTAACCTTACCAGTTTCACAGCTGGGCCCAGTGAAGCCCTGTGGGCAGGCACACACATTGGAAGCAATGCAGGCTCCTCCGTTCCTACACCCATCTTTGCAAAAGGCTGCAAAATACAAAATCACAATATAAGGTTAAGAAAGAATTAACGTAACTACACTCAGCAACCACGCAGGTGGCCACAGGCCGCTGGCAGGCTGGCACAAAACGCAGTCCTTGTGGCATGGAGTGCAGAGGCTGACTTTTCCAAAAGACAAGAGGTCACAAAGACAATGGTTTATGGCCCCCCTGCTTCGCTGGCCAGATGGGCTGACAAGCTGCAGGAGGAGATTAGAGTAAATCATCTGAAGACAACAGCTCACATATGTGCTCCTTCGCATGCACTGGGAAGCAGTGAAAAGCAGCATCTTCCCCAGAAACAGACCCGTCCTAGGGCAGTGCTGGTCTTCTCCACTGCCCAAATAAAGGCCTGGGCATAATAGGCACAACTGAACACTAAACTGCCTGGCTACCTTATTCCTTGATTAAGCAATTAGATTGAAACAATAAAACCAGCAATGTGTTTCTCAAGAGATTCTAAAGAACTTACAAACTTTTACCATTTGCAGTTTGAAGTCAATCCCTGGGATTTTTCTTTGGCATGCTGCAATCTGAGCAGCTGTGCTCACATGTTTAGGTGCAGCGTTCTCCAGCTACAGTTGTGAATATGTGTATGCATTAAAGCTTCCCTTCTGCAGACACAGAAATGCAACCAGCTTTGACAGAAAACACGGCAGCTGTTAATTGCTCTGACTGCATCCCCAATATGGAATCAGAAATGCTCTGGTCACAAGAAACTGTAGGTGAAACTATGCAGATGGAGGTTATCACCGACATAAAGAGTTGCTCCAGGGCACCGGTCTAGCCCTGTGCTTGTCACCAGCCACCAGAGATGCCAGGCTCCGGTTTGCAGCTGCTCTGTGTAAGCGCCACAGATGAGGGCTTAAGGCCTCTCTCTCTCTCAGAGAGAACACGAGTGTTATCGATTTGAGCTTTCCAGCTCTCAGCTTCCAGGCACCAGCCTTCTGCTGTGAGACCCCTGGCACTGAGCGAGACCCCTAAGCTCCCTGGTGCAGGACGGCACGGTGCACAGGAGGATGGCTGGCAGCACGGCGCGTGCAAAGCTGCCGCAGCCATGGGGACAAGAGGCGCATCCAGGTCTCTCTGAAGGACGCTGGCGTCCAAGCCAAGCACATTTCTCAGATTGGGATACAAAAGTTCAGAGCCTTCTCCTGCTACACTGTCTTTTAAGTATTGAAAAGGGAGGGAGGGATGAACTTTTCTTTCACAGTGGGGCCAGGTGCCCTCTGAAATATCAGACCTGCAGTCTGAGCCCTGATCCAGGAAACAGAAGAGCTGAACGCAGTGCTTTAGGGTTACGCACCTTTTCTTTGACCTGAAGAAAACTCGATTACCTTTTTGGAAGCTGACACACCTCCAGCAGAAGGATTGGGGAATAGTCCCAAGCCCAGCATAGGAAAGCACAGTCCCTCACTACAGGAAAGACGTTGCGTTGCTGGAGCATGTCCAGAGGAGAGCAACAAAGCTGGTGAGGGGTCTGGAGCACAAATCTGATGAGGAGCAGCTGAGGGAACTGGGGTTGTTTAGTCTGGAGAAGAGGAGGCTGAGGGGAGACCTTATCGCCCTCTACAACTCCCTGACAGGAGGCTGTAGTGAGGTGGGGGTCGGTCTCTTCTCCCAGGTAACAAGCGATAGGACGAGAGGAAATGGCCTCAAGTTGCACCAGGGCAGGTTTAGAATGGACATTAGGAAAAAATTCTTCACCAAAAGGGCTGTTAAGCATTGGAATGGGCTGCCCAGGGAAGTGGTCGAGTCCCCATCCCTGGAGATATTTAAAAGACGGGTAAGTGAGGTGCTTAGGGACCTGGTTTAGCGGTGGAATTGCAGGGTTAGGTTAACAGTTGTGCTTGATGATCTTAAAGGTCTTTTCCAACCTAAACGATTCTATGATTCTATGAGCCATGCAGACAGAGCTCTCTTCTGAGAGGAGACGCTCTGGGTTTGAACCTCCTCAGACTACGACTTTTTTCCCATTCCCCAGAGGAGGGAGCCCAGCCTAAAAGGGTGTATTTGCTGACATCTCTCCCTCTCCCATGTGTTTGACTGGAAGAGGACTAGGCTGCTGTGTTTTACAAAGAGCTCATTTATATTAGGAATATTTAGAAAAATCACACTGTGACTCAGGTGAAGGAATAACTAGTTCTAAGATCTTAATCAGGCTTAGCAATTAAAGAAATTCTGGGTTGTTTAGTCTTGATAATACACAGCAGCAGAATGTATCTATGGGATACTACCAATGTTAACTCCGGCCCCTTAGATTCTGACACCTAGAAGACCAAGAGGACTGAGGCACAGTTTCAAGGAACGCTGGGAATGCTATTGCTGCAGCAAGACCACTTCTCACATGTGAGCCAGTTGCTCTGCAGCTGCACTACTTTTATTTTCAAGCATCCTCTAAATGCTGTGCTCAGAGCCTGAGGACTTCCAAGGATTTGGGCCCAAGTACCAAGTATCATCTCCTGTAATGTGAAATGCAACAGGAATAAAAGCAGCATTGTATCTCTGGAAAAGCATCTTTCTAAGAATAGCAGTATAACTTCTAATGTCTACCAGTGAACTAGAATGTTAGACAACAAGGCTTAGTGTGCATGGCAAAGGTTTTGTGCATGCATGTCTATTGCTTTTCTCATTTACAATAAAAAGACACAGCATACCAAACAACTTTCAGTTCATCCAAGCAAAATAGCAAGTTATTGACCATGGACAATGTAGATCTGACAATGTTTTCACATATCTTAACTTTGTTGGTAACTGCGGGCTTTCCTGAATGGTGTAGCAAGAAATGAAACATAATTACTTCAAATTTTAGAGCATACTAACTTATGTATGCATCATCCTCAAATTACTGTGAACTCTGCCAAATGCAAAGTCAGTGTATATCTGCCTATGAAGATCTTCTTACAGGTGCAGGACCTAAAGGCCTAGCCTAGCATTTTGTCTGCCTTCTTCAAGGTACGTTAACAGATTTACATCAGCTATGACAAAGCATCTCAGCCAGTTCAAAGACTGCTGGACCCCCGGGTTTTCAGTGGCTTACCTTTGCAGATGGTACCATTTCCCGTGTAACCTGGCTTGCAGACACAGTTGTGCCCACCCACGGTGTTGAAGCAGAGCGCGTTTTCATCGCAGTTGTGCTGGTTTGTTATACATTCGTCATGCTCTGAAAAGGGAAACAAGAATGGGGTGGTCCCGAATTTTAAAAACACAACAAAATAAAAGCTTCGTATAGGTTTCCATGTTAAAAAGAGAGAAACACAGTAGCAGTTACTGACAATAGGGCTATGTGAGCAGGCAACCGAGGGATAGCCAGGATATATATTTTTAGCACATACTAGCATGTGCTGCAGCATACCTCCAGTTTCACTCTCAGGGAGCCACCATCATTATATTTTCCACGTGGGCTACAGTGTTCTCATAAACATTTGCCAAAAAGCCAGCTAACATACTGAAGATCCATATGCTGGTTCTACTGTATAATTTATTCATGCAGGTTTATCTTATGCGGGTTTCATAGGGTTTCCTTCAGAAAGCTGACTCACGGTGCAAGACACATGCTCCAAACTGCAAAAGATATGGCTAGCAGAAGGCAGGACTTCAAAGCGTAGCCCGTGTTTTCCTTCCTTTCACTGTGTACGCAGCACTTTATTCAGGTGAAGTAAGGAACCCGAAAGTAAAGGTCTGCCTGCTGTTTGAGGGGCTTTCAGCATTGCGTGTCCTAGCACTGGAGTGCAATGGATGAGACTCCTCAGTCTGGTGACTTAGACATATTGGGAAATACACCTTTCGGGAATCAATGAAAAATCTGGACAATATGATTTTGTGTTGTATGAAAGTATAAAGTATTGTATGCTTGTGCATTTGTGTTGCATAAGTGTTCAGGTTACTGAACATTTTAATGGTTTAGTTTGTGATTTTTAAGACATGGAAAACCCAATTTCAAAATAAGATGCTCTAAAGTGTCATTTCAAAACGCATGAAATGCTCTGCTATTTTCAAAATGCAGTATCTTAGTCTGTAGGCATCAAAATGAAATGTTTCCATCTTCTGGAAGCAATCCTTGTATTTTCTTTAAATCAACAGTACTCATCTATCCATAAATAGTTCAAACGCCTGAAATTTTAATTTCAGGAAAACCAACTGTTTGGGGAACATAAAGGCACCTGAATTCAATCAGCACACATGGACTAACCTGCATATGAGGTTTTCAGAGCCATCATTCTGCCCAGGTTTTAGCAAATTTTATTAGTGCAGCTTATGCCAGTCGTGGCTATCTGACACAAGTCTTAAATCTGGGATCGGATGCTCTTTCTTCCCCAGTTTTGGGTATGTCACACTGCCCTGAATCTTCCCCTTCAGAAATAAGGAGCTGAAGTCTGCACACAGCCCACAGAGTTGTCGGGAAAATTAATTTCTTAACATTTGCAAATCACTATGGAAATGTTCAACTTGCTATTTCAATACTGGCCATAAACTGTGGGAGTATAAAACTGGCAGAATGGCATCAGCAGATGTAAATTGTCCTCTAGTCATGGCAAGTACCTGTTGTTTAAAAGGGGGAAAAATTCACCACAGTGTAACTAATCAATTTTAAACACTACACAGGTTTAGATGTATATTTTTTTTGGTGTGGGTTTGTTGTTGTTGAGTGTTTATTTGTTTGGGTTTTAATAATACTAACCTAACATCTCTCTTCTAAACAAGGATTTAAGCATCTCTCGTATCACCAACAACACTCTCAGCCCTCAGTACCGAGGCACCAGCGCTTACTGAGTCGAGTCCCTCGCTGGATGCAGCAGAGCACGGGCTGCAAGGCCTCTGCCCTGAGATTTAATTACTCTGCTCTCAGCATGAATAACTAAAATTGGTACGGTTCACCAAATGATCCAGCCCCTCTAAAATCCAGTTACAATATTTGACTCCGACCTCCTAACACAGGGAAATCTCTTGCGCTGGCTGAAACACTATTTATGCTAAATCAGCCCATAAAATAAAAGAAGAGTAAAGTAATGACCATGCAAATCAGGTAAAAAGTGTTATCTGTACTGTAATAATACCCTGACTTTCTTAGTTTGTGTTAATATTATGATATTATTTAAATATGGTATGCTGTTTACATATGAAATATATATTATTTTCTCATTTTGAAAGGTTCTGTATAACATGCAACAGGAAAATAGCTATGGAAATGTGCAAAACATTATGCGCTCAGCAGGTCAAAATATCTTGCAAAGCCATTATCTTGGTATCTCAGGAGGTAGGGTCTATACAACGAACATCACACTGGTAAATTCAGCTCAAATCATTGAATTTGGCAAATTAACTATCATCCTCAGCGAGGACGTATAGCCATCCGCCCCATGCCTTAAGGAATGCAAAAGCCTCACTGGCACGTATGGCAGCTTTTTACTATGGATAGGAGTATATCAGAGGAAAGGAGGTGATGCCAGACCTTCACATTGAGCGGGACATCTCTACGCATGCGGCTGGAGCAGCTCTGAAAGCCCGCCGAGGCACCCACAGGCAAGGCAAGCGTTGAGGCCTCTATGCCAAGCAAACTTGCTATTGGCATTCCAGTACAACAAGGTATTAACCATACTTATAACACCATCTTGCCATACTGGGGCCTTGAAGACCATTTGTACAGCCATATGTCCTTCACATAAAAAGATAACCACCGCAGTTGAGTGTGCCTTCCTAACATTTACTCTCTGGGCTAAGAAAAACTACTGAGTCTCTTGGGACGGATTTTTCATAAAGAATACAGTATCAATAAAATTAACTTTTCTGTTAGTTAAGTAAGGGAGCTCGGATTTAAAGACAATATGCCTGGTTTCCTAGTCTTGCCTTCATCACAGAATCATTGAATGTTTTGGGTTGGAAGGGAACCCTAGAGGTCACAGAATCATAGAATGTTTTGGGTTGGAAGGGACCCCTAGAGGTCATCTAGTCCAACTCCCCTGCAAAGAGCAGGGACACCGCTAACTAGATCAGGTTGCTCAGAGCCCGTCCAACCTGGCCTTGAATGTTTCCAGGGATGGGGCCTCCACTACCTCTCTGGGCAAGCCGTTCCAGTGTTTCACCACCCTCATTGTAAAGAATTTCTTCCTTATATCCAGTCTAAACCTACCCTGCTTCAGTTTAAAACCGTTCCCCCTTGTCCTGTCACAACCAGCCCTGTTAAAAAGATTGTTCTCATCTTTCCTATAGGCCCCCTTTAGGTACTGAAAGGCCGCAACCAGGTGTCCCCGCAGCCTTCTCTTCTCCAGGCTGAACAAGCCCAACTATCTCAGCCTGTCCTCATAGGAGAGGTGCAAGAAACTTCAGTGTTTCGTATTCTCCTGTAAGAAAGTTCATGGAGGATGCCTGCTAACACTTCAGGAGGAGGGTCCAGGACATAACCAAAACTACATCAAACCAGCTGTCACTTCTACTTCTGTGGTTATCTGCTCAAACTTCAGGTCTATTTTTATTTAAATCAAAAATTAGTGGCTCATGAAAAATTCATGGTCTGATAAATGATTCTTGGATTGAAGTTTACATGTCATTTTTGAGGAAGAAAATGTCTCAGAGTAAGAGGAAATTTTGTGATTCAATTAAAGCAGCAGAAATTTTAAAATTACAGGAATGGAAAAAATCAGCAAAAGAATCAGGATGTTTTACAACCCATCTAGATTTGTTGCCTTGTATCATCGGAGCTTAGCTTCATTAAAACACTTACTTAAAACCATTTAAACATAGTACTTTTTCAAATTCCTTCTTACAGGGGCACCTAACAGAGCAGTCAGCCTATACTTCAGGACTGGCTCTTTTATGGACTGATTACAAATGGTTAAACTACACCTGAAAAAATCCTGTATAGAAAAGCATCTTACTATATTCACTCTTCCAGCACATGGCACACTATCCACACCAATTTAAAGAGAACATCAGAAACAGCTTCTTCCAGAATTCTCTATTAATAACAAGGCAGACTGTCCAGCTTTATTAAAGACAGAAAGACTTATTTCTAATAAAAAGGGTGGTGCTTCATTAATTCACACTTATAGCTTGGGCTTCTTTTTTTAGTCAAACACTTGGTAAGTGACCTTAAATAAGGAGGACATTGCAGATACTGAGTTCAGCAATCTCAAATATCAAACAAGGAACTGTAGAACCAACAGGACTCTGCATTACAAACAACCAAAAAAAGCAATTTATAAAAGGATCATTTAAAGACAACCATTGCTACAGCTTTTAAGTTCAAAAACCAGTATAGAAACATTGTCGGCATTATTTAGAAATTTCAGTACTGCCCAAATATGCTTCTGAAGCTGCAAGAAGCAACACTAAAGCCATTTATTTCAAGCATCTTTAGAAATCGTGTGACACATTTAACAAAAGTCCTGTACTTATTTCACTGCATCCCATGCTGATGATGGGGCCAGGCCAGGTACAACAGTATTACAGAGGCAAGGAAGTAAAAATTACTTTTGCAAAGAGAACTTAACAATTAACACACCTGAATTTGCATACACATATGCTATACAGACCAAATGCACTGGTTTCAATGATTACTTCTAAAGCTTTATTATCTAGCTAAATTCCATTTTGCACTGTTCAGGACTGTATGCTCAACACTGTTAAAATTCATAAAATCTCTGTCCTGAGTGAGAATCAACCAAGGTTTTAAATACGATATTTATATTGACTAAAGTATCTTTGGAATGAGGTCTTTCTAGATAGAAAAAAAAATTTAAACTTCGCTACGGCTCCACAGTAATAACAATAGCAACAGTAACTGCATATGACTGTTCCATTAAATAGTCCTTATGACACAGATGACTTAGAGATGCACAAAATTATGTGACGGTGCAGTCAATTCACTTGTGCCCATTTGGGTGTGCAGCAAATAGATTATATACACATACACAAATACCTACACATGTATGTCATGCAAATTACATATGTACATACATATATACACATGCAGTATAGCACTCTGGAATATTCCAAATGGTTTGCTTGACAAAAATGTTATTTCAGGATATCTAGGGTGAAGTACTGCATCTTAGTACTTCACCCTGTACATCCTAGAGACTGCTGGCATAAAGGGATCAGGACCCATTAGATCCTGTGATCTATGACAGTGCAGTGACAGCTAGGGGATCTGTCTTACCAAGT